TTTTACAACTGATGACAAACTATAAACGGGAGCCCAGCAGGTTGCAGCAACGAAGTGGACAAGGCTGTGCACATCTTGGTCGATTCCACAGTATTATGTTCATGCTGAAACTATGTACTGAGTCTAAATGATGTTTAAAATAACTTTTAAAGTATTATAATTTGGCAATGGAAAAAAAAGTTACTAAGTGTCAAATGTGGTGGTGTATGTCTGTAATTCCAGCACTTGGGAGGCTGAGGCAGGAAGATCACTGTGAGTTCAAGCCAGCCCACGCTACGAAGTAAGTTCAAGGGAGCCTAAACTCCATAATGAAATCTTGTTTCAAAAAGACCGAAAAAAAAAAAAAAAAAAAATAATTCCAAAAAAGTTACTGGGTAACAGAACAGAATCACTGGTATAGTTTGAAAATTGGCAAAGTACTGATTGCTGGAGAAATTATTCTAATTTCTTATTTTCTGCAACTCTATACCCAAACACTTTAGGTAAACTAAAAAGGAATACCTACAAGAAACTAAAACTGTTTTATTAGTAATAACAACTGGCAAAGGAACTCTTATCACACACTCAGTGATGCAGTAAAGCCAGGAGACTTTAAATGTAGGAAATTTGCTCATCCTTAGGGACAGGTGAGAGCAATGCACCCCTCCAGCTGACCACTGCTAGCACGTGGTGCCACAGGGAACTGCAGCACATTATCCCCACTTTAGGGTTGAGAGGTTATGCTAACACACAAGGATATGGTGAGTAAGTTCTAACCTGTATAGGCTGAACCTCAAATTTTCATGTAGTAATCTTTAACTTTACTACCTGAACTATACCATATCTAATCTAACTTTTGTTAGTACATGTCTGCAGTACACAATGGTCACATTCCTCGTGGGGAGCTGGTACATGCACATGACACGTCGTACTTCTTTTTTTGTCCTCTTCCCTCCCCAGCCTCTCCCCTCCCCACATTTAAATTTCACATCTCATATTCAAAGATCTCACACAGTTAAGATCATAAAAAAAAAACAAAAAGTGTACAAAAACTATTGCCTATGTACCAGGCTCCGGGACCAGGCATATAGCTCAGCGGCAAGGGGCCTGCCTGACAAGTGCCGGGTCGTGAGTTTGATTCCTGGTACCAAAAAAAAAAAAAAAAGTAAAATGTACCAGGCTCACATTTACCTTAAATGTTCCATCTGCCACACATCTGAACTTCTCAAAGAAACTTAACAGGGTTCTAAAATATTCTCACAGATTTCTTCCATATTCACCAGGGAAAGTAAGTGGCAAGAATGAGCAGTATAATGGATTATTCACTCAAATTTTCTTAAAGCTAATACTTGCCCACGGTCTAGTTTCTTTCATGCCTTACCTGATTTATTTTAGTCTAATGTATAATAATAGCTTTTATTAAAGTAACTTCAACACAGGAGAACAATTAGGGACAGATGATGAATTTAAAAACAGGGAAAATACCAGGAATATTAAACAGAAACCTCAGAAGCGGAAGAACTCAATGACTGCACTCAATTCACTAACATCGAGGGACTAGAGCAAGCGCAAGAAAGGACACACAAACTCAAAGGAACACGAGGAAAGGGACACACAGTTCAGGGAGTCCGAGGGGCTCAAGGACACCACTGAGGCAATCAGCACATACACATCACGGGCATCCCCGACACAGAAGAACTAGAAGGAAAGAAAGCCTGAAGCAATGCTGTGAACTCCCCACATCTGGAGCAGGACATGGACACACGGATCTCACAGGCCTAACAGACCTCTAATAGGATGAACCTAAAGAATCTGTACGTAGAAGCATTGTAATCAAACTGTGGAAGTCAGTGATGGGGAATTTTGAAAATACTGAGAAAAAATGACTTGTCACACACAATCGTACTTCTCATAAAAAAAACTTGGGAGGTCAGGAGAAAGTGGGATGACACATTCAAGGTCCTAGAAGAAAACTGCCACCAACTAAGAACAGGATATACACCAAGTGGAATAGTAGTCCACCTTTAAAAAGAGAGAAGTCCCGCCATTTCATACAAGACAGGTGGCCCTGGAGAACATCGTGGTAGGTGGAATGCGCTTGCTCACGTGACAGCTGAAACAGAGAGGACAGGCAGTGGCTGCTGGGGCTGGGGGACGGGAACCAGGAGCCGCCCGCCCAGGGGTCTGCGGTTTCAGTTACAGAGCCTGCACACAGTTGCAGACACGGCACCTGAGTTGGTGGCATTTTTCTGTGGTACTGGACTCGGGGGCTTGTGGGGAAAGCAGCTACACGGCACGCACAGCACTAGGAAGCAGACTTGAGTGGACAGTAAAGTTTCCCGCATCATGAGCTGGAAATGAACACTGAAGAAAGTTTTATTGTTTTGTGCGAGTGAAGTAGAGCACTCAGAAGGCAAAAGAGGGGCTGGGGATTTAGCTCAGTGGCAAAAGCGCCTGCCTGGCAAGCGCAAGGTCGTGAGTTCGGTTCCCGGTACCAGAGAAAAACCAAAAAAAATAAATAAATAAATAAGTAAAAAGAAGGCAAAGGAGCTGTTTTGGGGACCAGGGGCACAGCACTCGTCTACCATGTGCAGGGCCCTGGGTTTGATTCTAGCACAGAAAATAAAAACCCCCAAAATGAAATGAAACAAAACAAACAAAAAACAATTGTGTTTCAACATGAAAAGTCTGAAGTACCCATGAGACATCCAAACAGCTATCAACCAAGCAGTAAGGGGATCGACCAATTTTAGCAAGCACAAAGCGCCAAGAGTAACAAGGAGAGAAAAATGTAAACATAAAAATGCACTTAAACTCTTTATCCAATGGAACATCGTAACTTTTATCACATTTTTTTAAATGAAGCCTCAGAGACTTAATTTCCCGCACACATGACCAATGAGTGCCTCCTCGCTCTCTGGGATTATAAACACGTATGAAGTCCCCCAAATACACATGGGAACAAAAAAGAGGTCTTTAAGGTACTTGTAAATTACCCACAATATAAGACATCAGATATTTTGACAAAAACAGAGCACATCTCTGTCACCTCTCTGTCTCTGTCTCCTCTGAAGATAAAAGTTCTCCTCTGAAAATCTCTGTCACCTCTGAAGATAAAAGTCCCATGTTGGTATATACATACATGCACAGATATCAACAGTCATGTATTAACACTGTCAAACTGCAGAAATGAGGGTGACCTGCTCCAGGGTCACATGAACGGAAGGCTGACCTAATAAAATAATCAGCTGAGTATAACAAAGAAGTCCACAATCGTTTCTGCCACCAAGTTACCCAAGGATCTGTGCCTCTTCAATAAATTAGGGACAGCAAATGTCCTCCATCTTTAATGATACTGTAGTGGGGACTAAGGTGACAATGTAAAAACAATTTTAGTAACAGCAGGTTGTGTATATATTTGGCTTTTAGCTTCTCACCCAAAATCAGATTCCCCAGCTTAATAATTCAGTAATGTCCTTACGGACAAAAGGCCACTTCATTTCATTTCCAGGGCTCTACTGAGACATGACAAGACACAGAATGATGACCCTAAGGAGGAAAATGGCCACGGGCGGGGGCAAGTGACTTTTAGTCAGAAAAGGGCAACACACAGGTATTCCTATCCCTGGGAAACCTTCAGGGATTTGAAAAAGATGCACAAGATTAACTGTTTGGTGTAAATGCTTAAACAGGTGAGCCTGGTACAGGTAAAGGACGATCTTTTCTATGGAGGAGTGCTGTTGACTCAACATCACTATCAAGATACCTACCTTCTCCTCCAGCTTCCTCTTCTCCTCACCGAACTCACTGATTCTCTGTGTGAGAAAGTCATTGAGCTGCGAAAGCTCTTTCTCAGCAGATGTGAGCTTCTGCTCCAGGCCCTCGGGTTGGGGCTGGGCTGCTGGCTCTGCACACGGGGCCTGCGGGGAGGTGCGCTTGAACTGCGGCTGTAGAGGAAGAGTGGCAGGACTTTCAGAGTTGAGGAGTAAAATACCCGCCAGAGCACAGGCTTAATGAAATGCAGCTGTTACTGAGCTTAAAAGCAAACTTAGAAATGTAAACAGGAAATTACATACTACATTCATTCAATACAAGCATAAATTTTACAGAAATAAAACTAATGAATTTCTTCATGGTGGTAACGTTTAGCATTAAATTCAACAAACATAATGGAATGAAAGGGTACCTTTTCTAGTTCAACAAATGGTACTGGAACTAAACATTCACACATAAAAAATAAATAACACAGATTTTATACTCTCCATAAAAATTAACTCAAAATGGACCCTAGTCCTAAAAGTCACCCAAAACCCTGCCGCCTTCCAGACCGGGCGGCTCGTCCTCCCTGGGATCCACGCCTGCCTCGCTGCGCAGCACCCCCAGAGCGCCTGACGCTGCCCAAGGCATCGGCACCCACCTGTATGCCTGCACGAGACCTGCACCCAGGAAAACCAGCCCAGCCTCACCACCAGGGAGTCTGACTACCGCCTCCTCTGCGGTGCTCCTGACCACACGGACCCCTCCACGACACTGACGCTAAACCCACCTACTGTCCCAGCTCAAGCGGGGCATGAGGCGCATCTATAACCACTGCACACTCCCTCCACACATGCTCAACTGAATCTGGTCCATGTGACTGCTCGGTCACACAGCAGGTAACACGCTCAGCACCACACCACTGCTTCAAAATAGTGTGTGCTGGGTGTGGTGGTGCACACCTATAACCCCAGCACAAAGGAGGCTATTGCTGGAGGATCACTGTAAGTTTAAGGCCAGCCTGGACAACACAGGTGAGTTCAAAGCCAGCCTGAACTATATAGCAATACCCTGTCTCAAACCAACAAAAACAAAAATAACATGCAGTGCTCCTGTAACTCTTGGACTATTGAGACCACCACACCTGCCTGCTTCCGCTCCCAATGCATCCACCCGTGACTCCAGGGAAGTGTAGAGAGGAGGGAACAGTTAACAGGCATCTCAGCCAGGAGACAACCAGTGCAGGCGCCTGACGCACGGCCCTGTCCCCTTCTTTCCCAGCTGTATCCTAACCACCACCCTACCCTCCTTTTAGACTACCCAACAGAATAATCCACCTCGGCCTCCTCCACAGCCCGCACAGGATGCCTAACTGGCTTCATGTGGTCCTTCGGGTGCTCAGCTTAGGTCTCCTGCCCTACAGTATGACAAGTCTGCTTTGGAAGGCTGACTGTGCTCTCGTTGGGAGCTGTAGTTCAGACAACTACTTGGGGCCCCCACCATGCAGCAACCCTGTGCACTTGGCCTGTATTCCCGACTAGGCCCCACAGCATGGGCAAAATCAAATTCATTTACGTGTACACTACTAGCACAGAAATGGTTACCACAACCATAGTGAACGCAACATTTCTGTGAGTACAGTCACCTTTGCTGGGCTTTGAGAGCCCTAAAGCATATTGTTCTGCATTATTATGGCCCCAGAATTTAACATTTTAAATGTGTAATGTTTTCTTTTTTTTTTTTTTTTTTGGTTTTTCTCCGGTACCGGGAACCAAACTCACGATCTTGTGCTTGCCAGGCAGGCGCTTTGCCGCTGAGCTAAATCCCCAGCCCCTAATGTGTAATGTTTTCTAAAGGGACTCATTTACTAAGTGCTCACCACAATCAAAGGACTTGGTGGTAAGAAGAAAAAGAAAAACCGAAAACAGTAAAAGAAAATTTAAAAAATAATAAAATGGAAAGAAAACAGTGCCTCAGTGACAGTTGATTTTGTCAAGGTGCACAAGAACATGGAAAAAAACTCACCTGCAATTAACAAAAGAAAAAAATTCCATCATATTTTTTTCCCATTAAGATGTATAACCACAGGCAGAAATTTGGGTGTAAAACATTTTACGTACAAGCCTTTTATTTTATCACAAACACCACTGAAACTGTCTGAAAGCTTTGGCTTAGTCACGACTCCTGCAATGGACCCACGGAACTCAGCGAGGCCTGCTCTCAAGGCTGTCTCAACTATAAGACTGGTATAAGCTGTTAATAGTCGGATAGAAGTTACTTCTTAAGAACTTTTCTACCTATAAGTTTAAAATATTATTTTACAAATTGACTATTTACACTGGAATACACAAAATATTAATTTTCTTTGTCAAATGCTGTACGGGATTAGGTTAAACAAACGATCACCCAGAAAAGTGGGCATATAGAAAATCACTGCCTATAGAAAATTATTTATAAATCCAAGATAAAAATCTCTTTGCTAGAGACATGCTTTATCATCCTATCTGCTGTTTCTTCTGCCGTCTTGCCATCCATCGGCTCTCTAGACAGGTAAGAATTTATCTTCTATACTTATACGACTTAGCATTTTCCTTGCATTCCCTTGCATAAACTGCTTTGGTGCTCTTTTAAAGTCAGGTTCGCAATGATATTTCAATCCTCCTAAGCTGAAACCTTCTTTAGCAGTCCCTCCTCCACCTCCATTCCGGCAGCTTATCGCACCTTGCAGGCTGACTTGAGAGCCCTCTACTGGCCTGACAAGGTGTCAGAACGCCTTCTCTTTACATGCTTTTGCTATGCTTGTGTAGTTCAAGGAAAGCACTCACTCAAAATGATGAAGCCTACTGCATGGCTTTCCCAACAACACGATTATCAAAGGCAAGTATGCCAGTTACACGGCACAGCAAAGCTGTTTTCACTTAGCGCAGTAATCTGCGCCACTGAGCCGTGCTGCCGAACGAGGCCGCAAAGACGAGACCACAGTAATGAAGCACCTTGGTGTGTCCGTCCCTAAGTGTGACAGAAGAGGGGGCTCCGCGTAAAACGCTTCTGTCTGAGGTAAATCTGAAGCTGTCTTGTCCTCAATATTTTCTGATTTTAATATCCAACTCTTTAATACTTACAAATAACAAAATTATTAAATAATTTGAAAAGGGAAAAATTCCACTTTAAGTGATTTTTTTAAAATCTAAGAATAAAGACTAACAAAGAGGACAAGAATTTTTTACAAGTGTTTACATGTCACCACAAAGTTATCAGACCTCACTTTTGATCCCAATGAAAACACCAAATCTCCCCTCACTGGAAGTAAGCCAATTGTAAAGTTGGTATAGAAAAACATACAAATCAGTTTTAAGGAAAGCTCATAAAAGGAAAAGTGGTAACTGGAACAAGGGGCTCTTCTACTTCTCCTGTAAGTCTGCTGTAAGGTCTCACAGACCCCTTGTCTCTGTCCCTATTATGCTGTACTCTTCTTTCTGGACAAAAATTAACCTTAGTCCTATTTCTATTTCCAGGTCCAAATTCTGCCACACATAGTGGATGCCAATGCACTAAGGAGGAGTGGACGAAGGATGGTAAGTTCTAAGATTCACAAGGAAAGAATTTAACAGTGGATTGTCACTGTTTTGTCAAATGGGCTCATTGGTAAAGGTGGAATTTATACAACACTCATTAGAATTAGAGTTTATGGTATGAAAAATTACATAGAAGAAAAGAAACAGGATTATATAAATAGGAAATCTGACAAATTTAGAAAATTATTTTCAAATCAAATTATAGCTAAAAGGCTAATTTCTTTTATATATAAATTTCTTTTATATATAAATTTCTTTTATATATAAATTTCTTTTATATATAAATTTCTTTTATATAGTTTATATAAAAACAGTAAACAAAACCCATAACCCAACAGAAAAACAAGCAAAGAAAAAGACAATTCCCAGAAAATGAAAGATGAGTAGGTCTTAAACAGGCAAAAAGTAGTTCAGCAGAAGCACATATGGAAGCTTCCAGAGGGGTCCACCAGCCTCTGCTGTCACACACCCACTCCTGAGAAGACATGTGTGGTACACACCCACATGGAACAGGTGGGAGGAGAGACCCTCACACATGGCTCTCAGAGACAGTAATATGACAAGGCCAACACGTATCACACACTCACGCAAGGCCTGAAAAGAAGGAATAAAACCAGATGCCAAACAATGCATTCTGACACCTTCTAAAGTAATGAAATACATGTATATCTGGCTGATGCTATCCAGCAACCCTGGACAGAGGCATTAGAAACTGACCGCAGCAGTTCCTGTGTGTGCCTGTAAGGGGCACGACCTGGAAAGATGGAGACGCGTAAACACCTGTTACCAAATCTGTAAAATATATGAATACGCTACCAATTCACACCAACTGGGCATAGCAACACATACCAGTAATCGCAGACCAGGGAACTTGGTCACGTAGCAAGACCCCATCTCTAAATAAAAAATAAAAAGAGCTACAGACTACTGCAAAGGCCCTAGGTTCAATTCTCATTACTTGGGGTTGGGGGAGGATCCCCTGTGGCCTTACCTGCAAACTAGCCATATAAGGAGCATCACAGTTTACATAATGTCCTAACATTGCATGTTGTGCCCGTAATTCATTATCCCTTATTCTCTCATGGAGGTGGGTAATCTGTTGCTTCTGCCTGTAAAACAAAAACTGAGGTTACATTACAAAGCACATACTATTCTAAGAAACAGTTAAAAGCAGAGCTTTTAGTGTTCTAAAAATTTCACAGAAGAGGTTAACAGTATCGTCAACTTTAGAAACTATATGGGGACGTTTAAAGCTACATTGCTATGTGAGCTGTGGGATAACTATCAGTCTTATTCATACTGTGAGGTCCTTCCTGTATTCTTTGGTAGAATCCACCTCCCAGATCTTAATGAAGGAATGAACCCTTTGCTTTCTACTTTCTTTTTACCTCCTATGAGAGATGCTGCCTGCTTGGTCAGTGTTATGGCTTGTATCTAGATGTTCCTCCAAAGCTTCCTGTGGTCAGAGGTGGGGTTCTGCAGAGGCAGCTGGATCTAGAGTGTGTGATGCTGGGATTAAGGGGCCCCACCCTAGGTAGGAGTGCTACACACCTTAAGGGCAGGTAACCTGGATGGAATGTAAGAGACAGAAAGAGGGCTGCTGCCAGTGCTTGCTGCTACTGCCTTCCCTGCCAGGAACTATTTCTCCTCTGTGATGCCCTTCTGTCACCCTGCCTTACAGCAAGCGCACTATGGACTGACTGAAACCTCTACAAATTGTAACCTAAATAAATCTTCCCTCCTTTTAACTTGTGGATGTCTGGTATTTTGTCTCAGTAATGAGAAAAGTAACTAAAATCTCCATTTACATTTATCCAGAATGTGCTCCACAGTCCCTGTCAACAGAGCTATTGATGACCTCTGGCGTCTACGTGAGGGTCGCCCAACCAAATCACTGTCTTGGTGGTGAGAGTGCAGTGTCACCAGCCAGTCTGCCTGGCTTGGGACCTGCCCAGGCAACGGTGGGGCACACTGCGGGCTGTGTCCGGTGGGTCACAAAGGGTCAATGTCTGGTCCCTGGCACCCTCCTCCCTTTACTGCTCCCCAGCTCTGCCTCTGCCAAGCACCATAAATGCAGCAGCTTTGCTCTGTCACACCCTCTGCCATGAGGTTTCTCACTAGAGTCAGCTGACCATGGACTTTACCCCCTGAAACGTGAGCTACATTAAACCTCTCCTGCTCTAAGTCATCATGTCAGGTGCTGGGTCCAGCAGTGGGAATATGAGCTCATCCTCTATTCTATGCCTCGATCTTCTCCCTGACATCAGCTGCATGGGTTACATGCCAGCATCGCCAGCAATGGACAGCCCATGGCTCAGACGAGCACTGACATGACCTCAAGTGGAAATCCCATTCAAGGACATGCAAGGCTTTCTCCAGCAGCTCACTCCTTAACCTCCACAAGCTACTCAACTTCTAGGAAGATGTATTTTAAAGCTATTACAAACCAGGCACAATGTTAAAGAGTTTTATGTGCAGTATCTCGAATCTTCAAAAATTTACTAAGTCTCAGACTAAGCATATAAGGAAAAAAGAGCTTTTAATAAATAGTAATAGGGTGGAGAAACAAGCAGCTTGAGGTTTTCAAAATTATTTACACAGTAACTTTGAAACAAGTGAGGTTATATGTTTCAGACTGCATCAAAGAACTTGTCCTACATAGAATCATTTTTATTTTTTAAAACATTTGTTATCCTTTTGGAAACAACCACACAGAAAGTGAGAAGTAGGAAACAGGTAACCAAGAAAGAACGAAGTCTTCTAACAATTTTCCAATCATTTCAAGCTTAACAGAGAAAACTCTCCCTCCAAGCTAAGATGGAATAAGAGGGACTGAGCTTTCCCTTCCACCTGAAACAAAAAGCAGGGCAAAACACTGAGACAAAGGCTCTCAAGACACTGGACACCAAGGAGTGGTGGGGAAAAATTAACTCTATACTAAGTTCAGCCCTAGTGCTATTAACAAAACTTAAAACAACAACAAAAACACTTCCTAGAACGAAGCTCAGGAAGACAAAAGTAAAACTCATAAAGCCTGATAGCAAGTAAGAAATCACCAGGCATGCAGAGAACCTGGAAATTAGAGCCCATAATAATCAGAAGAAGCAGGTAACTGAAACTGAGCCAAACCTGGCACAGAAGACAGACTAGATGAAGACACCGGGTCAGTTATTACAACTGTGTTCCTATGCTTGAGAAGGTGGGGCAAACAAGGCACGTGGTGCGCAGGGACCCAGCCCTGGGTGGGAGAGAGGCACAGTGTACATTCACCTGAGCACACAACAACAGAAACCACCCAGAAACACACGAGACAGACAAACAAAAACAAAAGCTTTAAGAAAGTAATATCCATCAGCTCTCGGATGATTCTCAAAGGCCAAATATCTGCATAATTGAAATTGCTAAAGGAAAGGTGAGAAGGGAGGTGAACACTCCCCCAAATCTGCAGAAAATGGTCTAGGATTTCTCTACATCTGAAAAGAACTGTATACAGCCACAGACTCAAGAAGGCCAGCGAACTCCAAACCCAAGTAAAAGCAGGCACACTAAGCCAAGGTACCTATTAATCAAATGGGGCTCAAAGTGAGTGATAAACCTTAAGAGCAGCTGAAGGAAAAAAGATTTCAGGGAGACAAAGGTAAGGAGGACACCATATCTCTCATCTGAAATAAGGCAATCAAGAAAACGGGGAAGTAATTGAAAGCACTAAAAATTTTTCAGAACTCTCAACCTAGACTTTTTAACCTAAGTAAAAAGTAAAAAACAAAATTTACTAGTAAAATTACTAGTAAAACCTAGTAACCTAGTTTTAACCAACAAAAACAAAACAACAACAAACACCAGAGGTGAGGTTAAAAAAAAGCTTTTTTGAGAAAAGCTTAAAGCTGAAAGAATTTATTATCTGCAGACTTCAACTATAGGAAATGATAAAGGACCACCTTCAAGCAAAACAATAATGCTGTGAGATGAAAACCTGAATCTACATAAAAGAAGAAAGAGTACCATAAATGATAATTATGTAGGCAAATACATAAAGTCTTTTGCATATCACTGAAATCTCACCAAAGGTAATAAGACTGTTAAAGCAAAAATATTAGCACAGTATTGCAGGGTACATAACTTTGTAGAATACATGGGGAAACAGCTCAAAGTTAGGAGAGGAAAATGGAAGTATACTAGTAAAGAAGAAGGCTCTCAGATTGTCTTCCATTTCCACATTAAGAATTTGTACGTTATTATTTCTCTGGATCCAGTACAGGATCACCGCATCTCTAGCTAGGTTCACGATTTCCCTTTTAACACAGCTGAATCAGCAGCTGTTGAAGTACTGCCAATCTGGGCATCCAACCCATGCCTGGTATCTGCAGTAGGGCCATCCTGCTGTGGACTCACCTTGGAGTCTGTGGAGTCCACGGCTAACCCTGGTGTTCAGTGTTAGAACTGAATCGTAGCATACTGTACTAGCAGGGACCAGAACAGAAGATACTTAAACATTCATTCTATAATTCCATAATATGATATGTCTACATATAAACAACCAAAATCATGTATAAACAATTATTAAAATGGTATTCGAATGTTCAAATTTTCTAATAAAATGATTAAGTCTCATTTTAACACGTATGATGGAGAATAAACACAACTCCTTCAGTATGTGTCAAAGTAAAAGACAGATGCTGTCTCACAAATTATAGTTAATTAAACCTGTGAGTGTGAGATACTCTAAGTAGTCCTGACATACATAGGCAGGCCTTCTTTCAACTCTAAATCTGATATAAATCCCATATAAAGCAGATGACTTAGAAGGTCATTAACGATTTAATTAAAAAGGTATCTACACTATAGCAAAGAATTCATCAATTTTAAAAGGCCTCCCTAGCACAATTAATAATGTACTTTTATTTCCACATATAATTGAATGAGAAATATACATACAGCCAACTTCAATCATTACAAGATGGGAGTTCTCGACACAGCCAGTGTCACTAACAGCACTAACTCAGCGGTCTCCACAAGAGTTAGACGCTTTCTCTGAGTCAGTCCCAAGTGACTGCTTAACCCCTTAGCTGATTAACTCAGTGGAACACAATTCCAAAGTGCCAGCTATTGTAAAGGACTTTTCTGGGCAGCACTAGGGATCGACCTCAGAGTCCTGCACATGCTGGGCAAGCATTCTGCTACCTAGCTATGTCCCTAGCCGACAAGGAGCCAGCTATCAGCAGACCTATGTATAAGCAACAGCACAGGTTAACCCGGAACTCTGACCTCTTTTCTCTTAAAATGAGACTAGTTTCTCAGAATGAAGATTTGATGAGTTACAAAATGTACAGGCAAGTCCTATTCTGTCAGGGGGCTCAGAACCTATCAAGCAGAGATTAGTACATAAACATCGTCATATACGCAAAAAAGCATGTTCCTGTGACTATCATTTTGTGGATGGCTATCTTGCATCGGGGGTACATTAGGATTTTTTTATGTGCATTCATTCATTTAATCTTCATGTTAATAAAGCTGGATGGAAAAGGGGAGCTGCCCAGAATACCACTCTTCAAAACCTCCTGCTTCTTGCAGTGGCAAAACCCCTTTACTGAGCAGGGATGGACCGTAAATCAAAGTGCAAGAGGCCAAGCACGACCTCAAAATCACATCAAGCCCATAAGCAGGAGGCCTGGCAGGTACCCTAACTCTAGGTTCCATTTAACTGGACATTGAATCCTGTCACCCACCTCTGAAACAATTTCTGCATGTGTCACCAACACTTTAAAGCCCCTAGTCTATCTCCTGGGGAGAAAGTTAAATATTTGGTTCTAATTTTAAGTACTCTATATGTTATAGGGGTTTTTATACCCAAGCCATTTTATGCTTAAATGCTGGTTACATTGCTTTAGAAGCAAAGGCTCATTTCTCTTCTACTGTTTTATACAATATCTAATGCACTAATTATTTAAAAATGTTATAATAAATATGTAAAGAAAAATCCTAAGATGGCTTAAGATACTGGGTATGGCAGATTGTTTACATAAATGTCCACAATTAGCCAGGTATGGTGGTATACACCTGTGATCTCAGAACTCGGAAGGCCAAAGCAGGAGGATCAAGTTTGAGGTCAGCCTACATTACATAGGAAGACACCGCCTCAAAAACTAAAATAAATAAAACAAGTCCACCACTACTATCCTGGTTGTCTTACTAACACAGGGTGACTGTGCTGCACCCCACACAGAGGCACTGTCACTTGCAGCTGTGACCAAAGGATAGCAGTGACAGTGACAGGCAGGCCTGAGCCGGCCCCAGAGCCCCTGTGTCCTGGGCATGAGTCTGTCACAGCCAAGACACGGAGGGGACACCCGGGCTTCGTCATCCAGGTACTCTCCACCCCACCGCTCCTGTCCCTCAGCCCCACGGGGCCATGCCTTCATGCTAATCAAGGATGGAGGCCACGCTGCCCCCAACAGCTGCTGCAGCCTCCAAGGGCCACAGCCCCATAGAGGGGCCTAGTGAAGAGTTAGCCAAGTGACCCACTTGATTATCCAGATCAGCCCTTCTCCTCCTTTATAATCTACACAAGGTTGGGGGTGTCCAAAACTTGCACGGTCCTTATCCATCAGTTACTTCAGACATTCACCACTTTCCTGTGAGGTCAGAGCCCTCACAACTGTCTGCAAAGGGCAGCTCTCTTCTGTAGGCGCCGGAAGATAAAGCACAGGGGCACTGTCTGGGGCAGCACGACCACAACCAAGCCTTCCAGACAGGGAGCTCCACGCAGTGCAGTGCACACACAGGGGACAGGGACCAGACAGACAGACAGACCAACGATGGCTCCTGAAAGACCTGGACAGGGCAGGCCCAACAGGTAGCGTCAGTGCTCCAGTAAATTCCCAAACTCTGCCGCAAAGCAATCTGTGTCACTAAACTCCATCTCCGTTTGCTTGAAATACTGAGTAAATAAAAATGCACTCACCGATCGATGACGATCTCCTTCTGCCTCAGAAGTCCTTCTTTTATCTTCAGCATCGATTCCCACTTGCTGAAATCCTGAAAGCCAGATGGCGAGTGACGCTGCCGAGACACCACTGCCAGACCCTGCACAGACAGAGCGACACGATTAGCACACGGAGGGGTCTGTGGGCAGCAGTTAGGGGCCACTATTGTCTTCCAGTCACCTTCATCAGAAAAGGAGAGCACTCACTTCGATTTCCAAGTATCTGAAATCACATTTGGGAATAAAATATAATAAAGAATTTCAAGCAGGCTCCACAGTAAACGTGTAAGTCTAATGAAGATTCTAGGGCAATGTGACACTTAACATGACTACCTGTAAGAACACAATCAAGATCTCGTTAGCCGGGGGAAGTGACTTTTCATCTTGCAGTACTGGGGACTTGCAGTACTTTTCATCTTGCAGTACTGGCATGTAGGGCTTCCTACATGCCAGCCAAGTGCTCTACCACTGAGCTACATGCCCAGCCTCTGGAAGTGACTTTTCAAAGAAAGAGGCAGATCAGTGCCTCAGGAAGGAGTACCAAAGGAAGGCACCATGGCTCCAAGAGACAACACTCCCAGGGGTCACCTCGGGGGATAGATGCAGCACTGCAACATCCACCAGCTGCCGTGCACTGTCTCAGCATTTAATCTGGCTACAACTCGAGAGTCACACATGCTGTCACAGGTAGGGAACATTGCCAGGGAAGTACGATCACTATGATACAATTTGGATGGCTACTCGTCTCCACTGTAAATTATACAGTTCAGAAAAATACTGAGAATTTAAGAAAAACTTCAGATGTAAATCAACAACAATAAAAGCCATGTGACAGATAATGCTCAACTTTCTACCAATGAAACGGTAACAAAACTTTTTTCCATACTGGTGTCATGGGTTCAATTATATCTCTTCAAAAGGACATGCTCAAGTTGTAACTCACAGTACATCAGAAAGTGACCTTACCTGGAAACAGGGTGTATATATAGACATAGTCATATAGACATACAGACATAGTCGAGGGAAGATGAAGCCGTGAGGAAGAACCCAAATGCAAAAAGACTGGTGCCCTTTTTTTTTTTTTTTTTTTCTTTTTGCTCCAGTACCCAGAATCTTCACACTGAGCTACCTTCCCAGACCTTTTTTTATTCTTTGAGACAGGGTCTCCTTAAGTCATTAGGTTGCCCAGGCTAGGCCTGAACTTGCAGTCTTCCTACCTCAGCCTCATGGAGAAAGGTCCACTGCCTGAAAATTATGCCTTATGGACTGAAAATTAAAATTTGATTTTTATATTTTCAAATACTGAAAACAAGAAAAATATTTTGTGATATACGAAAATTACACTAAATGAAAAATTCAATATACTAAGTAAAGTTTTACTGGAATATGGCCATATTTATTCTTTAATATATTATTTTGCTGCTTTTACAACAGCAAAGCTTTCTTTTGTTTTTTCCCTGGTTGCTCATTATCCTGTCCATGAGCATATGGTAACAAAATAAGAAGCCACAAACACTGACACATCATAGTCAACTGATTTTCATCAAAAGAGCAAGGATAATTAAATGGAGAAAGGAATTTTATTTTATTAAAGTCTTTTTATTTTTTTTAAAATGAAAACCTATCCACAAAGATGTGCAGGCAAATGTTCACTCAAAATCATCCAAATTGGAACACAACTTATACAGTCATTAACTAATAAATGGATAAGCTAATTGTGCTACATCTATGAAGTGCACTGCCAGCAGGTACATGCAACTACACACGTAAACCTCAAAAAACATCACGCTAAGCGAGGGAAGCCATTCTCGGGCTGCTTTTGTTTATGACTTCTCAACATAGCAAACTGCATGAAGCAGGAATCAGATCAGAGGCTGCCCAACGTGGGTAGGAGCCTGACACAGAGGAGCAAAGCAGCCTTTTGGGCTGGTGCAGCTCATGTCCAACAGGCTTATGTGGTAAGAGGACCACATACATTGTTCGAAACTCAAGCCATGTGTGTCTGAAGGCTGAACTTCACACCTGTGCGTTATACCTCACTATGACTATTACAATGATATATTTTGCTTGGTTTTTCTAAAAGTTATTCCAGGTAAATGTTTACATACATTGCATGTGACAATACAGCAGCAAACAGAATTTGTCATCACTCTGAAAAAACCCAGACGTGTGTCAACAATGGAATGGAGAATTAATTGTGGTAAATGTGTACAGTAGAATACTACACATTTACAGCAATAAAATGAGCTATTATTACACTACATCATGCAGGTGAAATCTGGCACCAAACCACAATCAGACGATGATGGAAGTTAGAAGAGTGGAAAAGGGTGGAATGTGCGGTGTGGCTATGCAGACTGCGAAGAGATGAACTCACCGGAGACTATGTCTTGACCTGAGTAGGGTGTTGAGTGTGGGCATGTGTGTGTGTGTACACACGTGTGCAGCACAACAGTGCTGTTACTGAGGCTGATGCAGCTAAGCACTCTGTGAGTGCTGGACCTCAGCAAACCAAACATCACAGCCACAGGAAACGCCCACACTTCTACGCTGGCCCCTACACACAACAGGGTGTGCTGCCCTGAGCACAATGCCACCTCCTCAGCTCGCTAGTGTTCTCCTCAACCTCCTGTTCTGAGTCTGCAAGGCCACCAGGCAGAGGCCAGAGAAAGGCCAGGGCCACACCAGGAATGAAGGAGCACAGTGGGCAGGGCTGGGCCTGCACAAGGGCCTTGTCCCTGCTCTAGAGCACAGATCTACTACAACAGAGGCTAAGCTGCTCTCAATGCTGATCAGAGAATGGCTCCCCAGGGCGTCAGAAAACAGTAAGAATTCTTATTCAATAAAATCATAACTGGCCATGAGATGCAAATGATTGTATGGTGGCTATCTACTGGTAGTAAAGTATGCATTTTTACTAAATCCCAGAAAATCTAGGTACTATTTGATTTTAGAAGTATTAAAATTCATGTGCTGATAAAATATAAAAGTACTGTGGTCATGTTGTTCTACACAGAATATCAAGTAGTCATATTTCTACTTGACTGCAGCCATTATAAGTAATCATGGAGAATGTCATAATTTAACTTATGAATATATGACATATTTATAGCTTATGAATAATAAGGCTTTTACTAGACATGAACATGAAATGTAAGAGGTAATTATAAAGGCTTGTAACTGCCAACTAATATGAGTAAGGAACAGAAAAAATGTCATAAAATATTTCAGCATCTATGAAGATGAAACAAAGATACTTTCTAACAAATAAATACTTAACAGCAGTTCCAAACTCAAGAAGAGGAGAGAATTCCTGCACCTATACATTACAGCCTAGACACACACATAAGGACTTCTGATGGAAACGGCAAGTTCCACTCACAAATGAACAAGGACCGGGGCATCTACAACAATCTCAAACATGTGCCATGAGATAAGACTCAGACCCTATGAAAAGCTGCCAAAATATATCACTAATGGCCACATACACTTCTAATAAATGTTCGCTGTAGTGCAACTGAAAATAGCTCCCAATCCTTTGGCCTAGAGGACTCCTGTCAAATTCATGCCACCCTCTGCAGTGGAATACTGCCTCTGCAGTCCATCAAGTCCCTTATCTTGCTCTCCTTCATCTGCCTCTGTCCCCAGTGATCAGCATTCACAGCTTGTCAAACAGCACAGCAAGTCTTCCTCTGGCTCCTGGAATTAGCTATCTGCAGAGATACTCTAACAAGTACTCTTGGGTAAAAAGAAGCATGATACTGCACCCAAAAGTAAATACATTGACAAAGCTCAATAATGCAGAAGACTGAAAAATAAGCTACAAATAACAGAGCTTTAAAAGCTCTGATTCACTAAGAGAAACACTGTATTATTATTCAAAGCATTGTTCATTTAATAGAAAATATGTAAGGCTAAGCCCATGTAATTATTTGCAAAATACACTGCTGCATATTTTCTAACCAAAGAAAGGCAAACAAAAACTAAACACAGATTAAAAATTCTATTAACTCTTTCTTCAGCGTGACCATTTATAAGATGAAGTCTTTGTCTTAACCTTCAAAATTTATATTACGGAAGAACCGTATTTTAACAGTTTTATTATTTCTTTAGTTTATTTTTACTACTAACTCCATAATGCTCTCCTTGCTTGCCATGCTCATATGCTTTATGAAATAAACATTCAAGTAGACTGAGTTACTTTCATGGTAAAAGATGCCGGAAAAAATGATTAAAATAAACCAACAAGGGAAATTCCAATATATATTCTATCTAAATATGAAAACAAAAAGAAATGTCAATTTAACTTTTTTTGAAGGGAGGGACATTTTCCTCTCTAAAATCAATCTGGTTTGTGTCTATCATTATGTTAACAGTACTACATTTTTTAAAATGTCAACAGAGAAGATATCCATGCATGAATCACGATCTCTTTACAGCCATGATGCAACAGTGGTGGAGAAACATGCTCTATCAAACACCAGAGGGGGGAGCTGGGGGCTGGGGATTTAGCTCAGCGGCACAGCACCTGCCTGGCAAGCACAGGTTGTGAGTTCATTTCCCAGTACCGGAGAAAAACCAAAAAAAAAAAAAAAAAAAAAACAAACACCAGAGGGGTAAACCACTCTCCTTAAACCAACCAAAGGGAAGATGAGGCAGAAAAAATGAAGCTTAAATCTTCTAATGAACAGTACCCATGAATTTTACTTAGAAAACAAACAATGTAGACTTTTCCAGGGTTTATTCTTCTATTTTTTACACTTAAGATGAAATATATTAACAGCAGAAGTTAATGAAGCAATCTCATAATAATAAGCCAGATAACTATTATTTGCACTCAAACTGAAAAAAACTAGGGTACAAGTGCTAATTCATGAAACTGAAGTTTATCAAAACAAGTGTTTAACAAAGGTCTATTCTGCATCCTGCCCAAGATTATGCATAACAAGTATGTCACACTGTGGAACCAGCTTCTATTAAAACAAGTGCTAGCATATTTCTAAACTAAGATTACCAAATAAATTTTATAAAATCTTGTGCCTTATTTTACTATAAGAGACAAAAGAAAAAAATATGCTAATAAAACATTCTGCAACCAAAG